ATAGGAATTGTATTGTTGGTAAAAGTAGCCCAACTCACCATTCTGTTTCATAGTATGTAGCGGAGTGCTAACATTAGTGTGTATACGGGCATGAAAGAAAGTTTGCGTGTGCTAAATATGGAGCACCTGCCCTCAATTGGTATGCAGTGCAAGAATTTCATTCTATTTAGCAGTAATAAATATCGTCATCTTCGTTTAGATAGGCCCAAAGGTCTGTAGTGATCATGAAGGGATTTTCACAGGTCTTCCAGTGTCTGACAAACCTACTGGTTTATGTCATATCCTGTCTAGCCGCTCGTCACGGGTTAATCCGTGAAAGACGTTCACGCTAATTCAACTTCCGATCTGAAGTCTTCTCCCCTGTGTTGAATATTTGTAGCTCATTTCGAATAGTGATGGTACATATTGCCTCTTTTAAGGGGTAACAGCAAAATTTCTGTAAAAATTAATTTCAGCTCTACTGACTGCAAAATTCTCACATCCATGTAAAAACACTGGCGAGGCCATTACTTTGTGAAATTATAATTGTGTATCCTTCCTGGTTCCGTTTATTCTAATTCGCTTTGTGCTCCCGTACGTATGCTGAAATATGAATAAATTATTTTGCAAGACTTCATGCATGGTTATAGGAGAAGTCGCAGCTTAAATATTTGCAGGTATAAACTTCTCTGCGGTATGATTTTATATCAAAATTTTATATCTAACTTGATATTTTACTTGGAACGCCTTAAGTTAAGATTCTGAAATAGAGGTTTTTAAATTACATCTAGAGTATCATACCAGATGGGCTTATGAATACGATAGCTGATAGGAAACTAAATTCTTAAGCATACTTGATCTGCCAAACGTGAACAGTCCTAAATGTAGCTGTCTGTTTCTCATAAGACAGTCATTCACATATTCAATTTTGTAAACTTTCTTTCTATCCCAGATTCTTCTGTGTGGTTTCTTAAATTATCTTAGCTATTGAAGACATCTGAAGGTAAACTAGAAAAATAAAAGGGTTATCGAATTTACAGGTACTTAGTTACTTGATGTTTTTATTGAAACTTTAACAGAATGAAACAATGAGAGCTAAAAATAGGCTGTAGAAAATCACAGGTCACGAATTGTATTGGTACTGACGAAGGACGAAACACTGATCGTTCATAACACACACGCCTTCTGGCCACTTCTATGTATAAAAACAGTTTGTTTACATTTTCCTTATATTTAACGAGTGTATATGCATACATACAAACACAGATTACAGAAGAACACAAACTGCTTGTTAAACCAGAAACTGCAATCTGTTTTTAGGTTATTTAACAACAATGCATGTTTTGTTTGTTTGTCATCAGTCTTTCGACTGGTTTGATGTGGTCCTCCATTTTCGTCTATCTTGCGCCAATCTCTTCATTTCCACATATATTTGTAGCCCACATCCTCAAAAATCTGCGTCACATATTCCAATTTTTGTCTCCCATTACAATTCTTCCCTTCAACTTTTCCTTCCATTACCAAATTTACCAATCCCCCAACATCCTATTTCTTCTTCTCGTAAGATTTTTCCATAGACTTCTTCCTTCGCCTATCCAGTCTAAGACCAGCTCATTTCATACCTTATCAGTCCACTTAATTGCATAAAATATGAAAGACACCTACTTTAAAACAGTTGGTTTCCAGACCAAGGTTCGAAACAGCAACCTCGCAGATGGAAGTCACAGTCTTTAGTTGAAAACAACTTAATATCGTTTCAGTAGAAGCAGTGCAATTTATACTGCGCCGTATTCTGGACGTAGTATCGTGTCTACATTAAAGAAGGACACAGTACGTTCCTCCGAAACGTCATTATTAGTAGTCGTATTCCTTGACACGGTTTTGTACCCAGAGGAAACGTATGCAAACTCTTCAAATGACACGCAGTCTGACAGCGAGCGACGAATGTTACAAAGATTCTGCAACTGCCCAATTCCTTGGAAAAGAAATTTCTTTGAGAAGCTGGTTGTCTTTCTGCTGATCAAGAAATGCCCTGGCTCTTAGGGAACCAGAAGTTTCATTACCGTGTTCGTAAAAGCCCACCACTGAACCCTATAGTAAGACAGATGACAGAATCGAGTCCAATCGACACACACTGTTATTCTGAGGTCCATTGTATTATTCTACCACATCGCACAAACTAACGTTTCCTTTCAGATCTTACAGAATGTAAATTGTTTGTGAAGAACGTGTTCTCGCACCTGCACGGCTTGAGAGTAAATACTGGTACAGAATTGAATATTCTAAAATTGCGGGCACCTTAAAAACTCTTGCGAGGACAAGAAGGTTGGCCATCCTCGGCATCCATTGTATTCTAGCTACTGTAACGGGCAATCATAATCTCGACAGCAATGACTTGCTCAACGCGATTAACAGCATTCCTCTCTGTCTGACACCCACATTTGCTAGTGCGTACTGTTGACCCGTTTTCCTCACAAGTTACCCCAGTGTGCTCCAGTTCAGTGCATCTTGTGTGTCTAAATGCAGTTTATAAAAACCTCCTAAAAGTCGCACCGTGTCCTGGTAATGCTCCTGAAAATTTATTGACAATATTACCGTAAATTTAGCAATACCTCCTTCTTCTTCATAAGACGTTTCCACTCTAAGTGAGTCGTTTAACAAGCAAGAAAACTTCGTCACTAAATTATTTAGCTTGTACATATGTCTTTAATAAACTCCAAAGTATGTAGATGGTAGCAGGTCATTTTAAGATAGTCGTATTAACCGACACTGAAAAGTTATTGTCCAAAACACCAAAACTAAACTGTCCCTACTTATTAAATTCGAGTTATAACAAAAACATAATTTCATATCACTCGCATTTTGTATTATTTGCTGCTATGGTGCCTCACGACGAAAAGTCTCCTAAATAACAAATACATTTCTATATTCATTAAACCTTTGAAGCCAAAGCTCCTCTAATATTATTAAATTATTCGGTCCTTACCGCAAAGTAAATACCGAACTTCATTATTACAAAGATAAACTGGTTCACTCTTTTTGAGGAAATAATAGCTGTTTACACTGAGAATCATACGAAATACATAAATACAAAATGAATTGTAATTGACTGTTGAAGCAGGTACATTACCACTGTGTGGTAAAGAGGTAAACCTTATTCAAAGTTTCTTCAATTTTATTTTATATATTTTATATTGTAAAGAAGCATGTGTAGGTGTGCTAGTAATACTGAAATGTAGTTACACTTATTTTCACTCTGCAATTTAATAGGGATTGTTTACCAGTACCCGGAAAACACAATGTTCTACTTTTTATCTTATTAAGGGTCAGCGAGTCAGAAAATTTGCAGATCGTTTTTCCATTGGAAATCCTATTTAATGAAACACAGTTTAAGTACAATATATGTCTCTTCTATTATATTCCATATCTCAATTTACTAACGAAGGAGAGAGTGTAAAGCAGTTCAGTTACGTAAACAAAGTGTGTTTATTACAAGTATCATAAATAAATTAGCAATTCGTGGCCAACAACGTCAACAAGTTTCAAAGTAAGTTGATAATTTAAAAATTATATGTTTTTTAATTGTACACGATTAGATCTTTAATGCCGACTGGATTGCAAATTAGTTTCAAGAGCTTAAAATCATCTTGGTGTACCAGCAGGATATTAAAATGGTGTCAGGGAGATAAACATAAAAAGTCTTATTTCTCAATTGTGGATTTCTGACCCCGTGTGGCCTTGTAGTTGGTAAAAAGAGTTTCGGATAATTGTGTCGCCTCCATTTTAACGGTGGAAATGACCTCAAATGGTGACAGCCTACAAACCCAACCACTTTCTGAGACTGGTAATTTCTCTAAAAAGAACAGATTCACCAATTACAGTAATTATTTGAATATACAAAAATTAACAACAATTTACTTGTGAGAAATGCAGGTTTTTGTCTAGGCTTTTAAATGTTAAGATATCATGCGTCTTAATATTTGTAATTGTGTAAACTAACCTCCTTGAGCAGAGGTCTCCTTGAAAATATGAAAATTTCTCAGGAGGTCCAGAAATTCCGCACCTTTTATGAGACCATAATTTACTCGCGCATTCATATGATATCGGAGTTCGTTAATTAACCTGTGCCAGTTTAATTCAGTTAACGCTCTTTAAATTTGCGTTTTAATATTATCACCATCAGAAACAGCATCTATCATTCAGCTCTATAGGAACACCTAGCAACAGTAATGTTATGTAGTACGTGACTATGGTAAGTTACGTCGTTGTAGATTAGCTAACAATAATCAATGATCTTCGTGGGAAACTTACAGAACCAGTTTGCTCAGGCCGGGAAGGACTTGAAATGCAATCTGGAGAGAGATTGTGCATTATGCACTGGATAAAAAGTTACAGATATTTAAAATTAAAGCATTAGACACAGCATCAGAAAAGTATTTTAAAATAATTAAGTTTGCGACATATGTACACATAATATGAGTCTAAAGAAATTTTACTTTAAAATTTTTGAATTTATGTCTCACGTAGTTGCGGTAGAAGGATAAGTATTAAAATAAACAAAATAAGCAATGATGGGTGCATAAAAGTTGAGTTTTCCGTTAGTTTAAAAATATGCGCAACTTAGGACCGTAATATGCCTGTTCTACAATTCCAAAATTCTTTTATCCATAAGTTACGTTGTGTGTAACTGAATAAAAGGTAATCAGTCTCAATAACACACACGAGTCAGTACATGGAAGCTTCTATCTTATGAACTAGGGAGTTTTGTATATTCTGTACAGCTCCTTGCGTCTTATAACACAGCTTCGTACTACATTAAGCTCTGGAGGTTCTCTTTACATTGACAATAACCTACAGAAACTGCAAACCAAAAAATGTAGAATAATGTCAACGCGTCTACGATTTTATGAATCTTGCACATAGACTTATCCGTTAGGTGTGTGAAATTCGAAAAGGAAATTTCCCGAGGCAGTGTTTCAACGTCACATTTCTATTTCCTACTTTGTATGTCTTGTTTGCAGGCGAAATGGCTGTTATGTACCTATTTACACGGTACCGTTTCAACTGGAATGAAGTGGACTTCAGTATGTTCTCCACGTATGGCATGGTCACAAATCTCTTCGGTAAGTTGTGGTAATCAGAGAACATCGTACAAATAAGGGTTATTATAAACTTTGAACGTCGAAGTGCCACCGTTGTGAGAAAACTACTGCTTGCTTCTTTGGAACAGATACTCCCAGATTTTTATAATGCTCCCGTGTAACTATATCATGCAGCATTGTTACTCAACTAGTTCAGTACACATGTCCCACGATAGTTTTCTTAAAGGCAAATTCATTATTATTTTCCAACTTATAAACATAAATAACTTTACGAAGTTGAGTCCCTGATAAGGTGATGGTCACTCAGACTTGTCAAGAAATTCTTCATATTTTGTGGATACAGATGGATCAACAACGGGTTAATAAGAGCTTGCTAATATACCCTGTACTGAGCTAGCTCAATCCAAGTGACATTCTCACACTTTTATCTTTCAATATACGACTTATCTTATCTGCTAATCCCCGCCTAATTTTTTCACATTATTTGATTCCTTCAGATTTTCGGACTAAATTTCTCTCTGCATTTTTCATCTCTCCTACGCACACTTTTAAGTTCGTCATTTCCATCCTACGATCAATATTCGGTTAAGGGTATAAACTGCAAAACTCTTAGTTCTGCAATTTATTTCATACAAATGTTACTCCCCCCACAAGTCCAAATAGTCTCCTCAGAAACCTGTTTTTCCTTTGGGATCAGAGATCAAGGTTCACACCCATACACAACAATAAGTACAATCATACTATTTTAAAACATGAGAATAGAACAAATTCTTGAAAAAATACTTTTTAATTATCTATGAATTGTGTTAATGTAACTTTTTTGCAGAATTTAAAGCAAAATCACTTTAAGATGACTGTGTTAACTAACAAACCACTGGAGTAAAGTAGTTACCAATAAAAGCCCATGCCCAATTTAAATTACGTTTTGTGATCATTTATGAATTAATTATCAATGCTTTGGTTATTAAATTAGCGTAAATATGTACATACATGTTTTCCACTTCATTAAGTCTTAAAACATACGTATTGAATAGTCACAGTTACATGTTAACAGCCCACGTGTTGTTTGTTATTATGCACGTGTGTTAGTCGCCGTTATTTATCTGTTTCTTACATTGATCTTCAATCTCAAGTTAATCAGGACAGTTAACGATCACGTTTCTCCGTCTCTGGTCTGGATGTTTAATTACTGAAGTGTTTATGTGATATGATAGAATATTGATCGACCGGAATATCAGTACTTGTGTACTTAATAATTGGTATGATATAACCGGTGAAATTTCAGTGTAAAATTTGAAGTTCATAGTTTATGTAACAACCACTTCGATATATTCTTTACTAGGCTAAAATGTAGGGTCTAAATTTGATTCTATTCCAAGACAAAACACAATTTCAGACGTGGTTCAATTTTCTAACATACACGCACACCCACAGAATGTAGGCCAAAATAAATGTCCACATTTCTTGGATGAATAAGAAAGTCTGCAGAAGAAAGCGGTAGTGGTAACGCTATATTTAAGTTTCTATATTAATATCTGCATGCAGCCTGCTGATTAATACCACGAAATCTTATTATAATAGCCGGTCCAAATCGGCTTCACCAACACCCTTATACGAATTCTAAGTATTTTTTCATAGCATCCAGACCTCCATGCATTCTTAACATCGGCGCTAGATTCAGATAAGAACAGAATTTATTATCCTCTAGCGTGTTGACTGATAGCGTTCCTTACATACAAGTTGTTCCCTATTAATTATTAGCACTGCAGGTCTTATGTTAAATTATATTTCTCCACGATGTGTAAAGTTGTTTATGTAGCTTATATGTATAGAACTTTCTTACAGACATTACAAATAATCTACCAGTTGCTGAAAGCCACACTCCCCTTTGGAACGTGTTATTGATGGAATAAATAATCCGTTATGTTTCAGGTACCATGGTGTCCGTTTGTGTCTTCAGCCATCTTCTGAAAATAGATGACGCTCTAATTGGAGTTATGTCTTGTATGAGCAAGATTCTGGCAAGCTTTGTATATGCCTTCAGCACCACGGACTGGCAAATATACATGGGTACGACATACCATACGTAGGCGTACTATTAATTTAGAAAGAAACTAATTTACCTTTTGTTGGATAACTATTATATATACACAATATTCTATTTTTGTTTTGTATTCTCTTTCACACGAGTAAATAAACAATACTGATAAATCCAATATTTATTTATGTATTTACATAAGTAATAGCTAATTATATTTAATAAACTATTGTGGAAACGCTAATTTTGTATAAATTTCTCAACAAAAAGCCTGAAGATTGTATTGTATGGTTTTTAATAATGACAGTTTCTGTCGTGTATCGAGCAGTTTGTATTACGAGCGTTTTAGTTAAATCGGAGTAATAGTTGTCAGTTCTCAGCAGTAGCAGAACTTTATTTCAAACTTTAAATAACCGGTAAATGCAACAAAGAGTCTCTATTTCGTAACTGTTAAAAATGAAAGTCACTGCCGAATGATCTACTTTCTTGGTTGTTCGTGTTACACCCCAGATCGATATAGGAATTAGTGTGACATTTTAACAAGAAAGTGATGACTATATTTATACTAAATTACGTAAAAATACAGCAATAAAATATCGGAAATTTCTTGACCAGCTTGGCGACTGTCGGTGTTTTAAGTATCACTTCTCCTTCATGGAGTTAAGTCATACAATAATTTTGGCTACAATATTTTGAGTCGCAGAGAAAGTACACGTGAGCCAATTTATTATTTTTATCTCCACTTACATTTTTGTTATTACGGATAAGATCCTCTGGACTGCCCAAATTCAGAATTAATTCCGAAAACATGCATTATTTAGGTACCTTATAGGACGTATTGGGTGAGAGGTGGGCCCATCGTAAGAGTACGCAGTATAACGTATAAAAACAAAGGCGTACAACCATGTTCCGGGCAGGATTCGAAACATAGATCCCAGTGTACGATTGGTCCAATATTAGGGACAACTTAGACCGCCCCGCTACTGCGATCAGTTGTTTAATTTATTGTGTATTATTAGATGTGTAACAAAACATTATTCAGAGGCCATAATCTTCTTTTACAGCTCCATTGGTGGAGATTCTGAACGGGACATCTTTCATCGCGATGAGGTCCATGGCTTCGAAGCTGGTTCCCACCGACGAACTAGGTAGGTCATGCTCTGCAGCCATACCCACTGCACGTTTGACAGGCGTTCTTTAGAGTTAAATGACAACTACAGACGTCAACAGATATTAAGTGGTACGGAATTAACTGAACTTTTATATTATATTTGCAATTTAAATTCTGAATATTTATTTCTATAACCGACTAGATTACAGTACCTACTTATCCAAAAGTGTATTTATCTAAATTTTATGTATGAACGTTTTTTCAGTGACTCAAGACTATATAGTCGAATGAGATGATGATGATAATGAATAATGAATTTTAAAGGATGTAAATGAAGCGGTCGTGCCCTTTTTATGTACTATCCCAGCATCAGCGAGGATAACAGGTCTCCGGGTCGAGATTTGAATCCGAGACCTCCGAAATAAAAATCAAGAGTACTAACCACTCCGAAAGCTTAAATACAATTAATATTAATGCTGTATTTAAAAACACATTACGGAAACATCTCTAGAAATGTAGATAAAATTACATCACTATGTCATAATGCAACAGCAGTTAATAACTATTTTGAAACTCTATCAAAGTAACAACGGACAAAATAAAATACAACACCTACCTAAGATCTGAGAATTTCACAGCGCCAACTCATTTCCTAATCCCACGGCTTTAACTGGCTGATTCCCTTGACCTATAATCCTCCTAACCCATACTTGCTGTCCGCTAATACTCCTTACTTCAGAGCGAAAGACAGAGAGGCATTACGCTGTGTTCGTCTGCATCGCGAACACACAACCAAAACACTAAGCGGCTCATTAACAAATACTACCAACATATATCAATAACATTTAGAGACGGCGCAATAAACTTAGGTAATGCGTCCTATCTGCCTGCTAAAAACGTTGAAATAAATCATCTGTGTATCCTCCCCCTACCAATGTTGCTATGCCGTGAGACTGTCTGTAGAATTGGGCATCTAACAGGACTTTTGTTCATCCCCCCGATGATATACAAGTCAATATAGGGCAATGATAAAATGATGCTGATAGGGGAAAGCCGAATATTTCGGATAGAAGCCTGTCCCAATGCCACTTTGTCCGCCGCGAATCCCAAATGAACTTTCTCGGGCTCAAGACCAGGCCTCCATGGTAAGAAGCCAGTGACTAACCGCCTGAGCTATGGCGCTGCCCACTTCTCTTACCATACCAAAACATCTTATTGGTTTACTGTTTACCATTTTCGGTGTCACACCGTTCGTGAAATTTTCGGTTTGAATGGTTCAGGAATGCTAACCTTGTTCCGGTTGACACATTCAAAGCATACAACCTCGCCTTTCACACGGAACTGTGTTTGTTCATTTGTTGATTTAAAAGCCATGACGACAAATTATCTGTTTCAGTTGATTCTAAATGCATCCGAGGGACATTTACATACATGAACTTAATTATTTTACGGTATAATTCTTTTAAAATTAAAATTAAAATGCAAATGATACAAGTATATATTAAAAAATATGCATACAAACTAATGGCATTAGTGGCATTCATAGTGTAAACAGTTTTGTTTGTATGCATATTTTATATTCCAATACACTACACGGTATGCAAGGTTTTAAGTGTATATTAATTGTATTTTATTTCTTGTACTTGTCAGATAAATGTGGAGGGTAAGCTCCAAACAGCCCTATGTATTTTATATATAATTATTTTCATATTTCAAACTGTAAGCCTCTAAATTATATTAACTGAATTCTGTACATCACAATTTACTGTGCGAAAAGGAAATTATTTGTTTCCTTCCAAGTGTCGTCTCGTAACAACAGGTAAAACCATTGGAGGACAAACATCCTAAAAACTTCGGTTTATGCCAACTAGTTAATCAACTGAGACAGCCGATATTAAACTTGATTGATTAAATATTCCAATTTACTAAGTAATTAAAACATTACGCAGTGTCATCCATATTATTATTTCGGCTTTTAGAGTTTTCATATTATTTGTCCAGACTCCGAGAACTAAAGTTTTGTTTGAACAGTGACGATTAAAACCCATTTTTCCGTATACAACATAAAGACAATATGCATTTATTCTCGTCTTCAATTAGCTTACTCCTAATGGGTGGTGGTAATTTATTGCAATAACAATTAAAACAGGAACTGTAAATAGCTCACAAATTAGCTGTTTGCACATTTGAAGCAATCATGAGTATACCGAAGTAAATCATATAAATATAATAATTTAAAAGGTCTGAATTTTCAAATGCATTTATTTTCCCTTTATTTAATTATGATTTTGCTTTGTCTCTTAACCAAAGCCAATATTAAAATAAAAGTTATATATCGAAATAAATAACACGCACATATACTGACGATCAAAAATGAGTCGTTGCATGAAGATTCTTTCCCGTCGTTACATTTTACTTAGAAAATTAGTCTTATATAACGCATACAAATTTCAACTAAATTTATAAAATCCCCAAAACCTTCAGGTACACAGTTTACTTTAACGACGAAATCAGAATATGCCAGAATGTTTTCAAATTCTTTCTACTTTGTAATAATTGCATGCGTTTTCTTTCTGTAGTGCATATATCATTGGCCTTGATTGTCTTCATTTCATACCAAGTTCGTTGTTGTAAAGCCAGTCGTGCCATTGCATAGCCAGAAAATATTATCCTTGAGTTTCTCTAGGCACACATTAAGGCAATGAAACGTGATTCGTATAAAAGTTTTCGGATCTTAATAAAGCCACTGTTTTATAGGCTGTACCGCATTTTATGTAATGGGTGCACAAAGCCAGAATCGGACTATTTGCGACAAAATATGGTGAAATTGACTGGAAAATATGAAGAAAAGTCGAGTAAATCTGTCGAGCGTTTGGTTTTTTCGAATTTTATTAGCAATAATGATGGTTATGGAAAACGTCAAAACAAATCCTACACCTGAATTTGGGGACAAGACGAAGGTAAGAGAATACGAGAATTGCTAGAGAAAAATAACATTAACATGAATATGTCGCGTAACTCTACTAAAAAAAGAGGGATTAAGTTTTGTGGCGGAATCGTGGAGGAAAAAAAATTGTTAATTTTTGTAACAGAGAAATACCCACATGAATAATATTTTGATACCTTTAAAATAGCCAAATATTTTTTGAGGATGGAAATGAAGGTGGATGTTACGAACTGGCACATAGACAGTGAAATGAGAAGAGGAAAAACAGACTCTAGAACAGTTTTGATGAGATTCGCCTCACAGTGAAGTTAAGTAGAAGTACCAAAAGGATCTCGAAATTCAACTTGAAGAAATAAAGACCGAACGAAATTACATCGTGCAGATAAGAATAATACGCAGAGAATTTAAACTTTAAAGGTTAGGTTGGAAAACAAGGTAATATAGCATTTGTATCAAAGGACAGACTAATTGTGAATACCAAAATGTTCGAACTGGAATACCTGAAGAAGAATTTTAGCGTTGAAGCAGCCCTACACGTGTGGAAGATAAGGAAAAAGTTCAGCGTCTAATTAAAACACAAAATCTTGAATTTCCAGAAGAGGAAGGTTTAACAGGAGAAGAG